TCTTCAGAATGCGCGTACGCGCACGGGGGTACCCATCTGCGATAGCCTTAGAGGGCTGCGCTTACACTCATAGAATCTGGGGTTACAATACGTAACCAACGTTACCTCAATAGCGATCCTCATGGCTCTGAGGATTTCCCATAATACCTTGCTCTCTATGAGTGGATGCAGTACCACTTTTGACCAGCAGATGGGGCATTTTAGCAGGATTTAACCTGAACCATTTTAACTATGTTACATACACCCCCTTAAATTCTGCTAAAACAGGGCATATTAAACAAGCACACAAAGAAAAAAATTAAAGTGCGACAAAGAGAGCACGTCAGTCACGTCAGTTAGAAACGTCCCCTAAGGGATAATATCAGCAAGMGTGCGGCCAAACTCTTACCAACACAGACCCAAAAGATGCCTTATACACCTTCTGATATACAATCACTGCTCTACAATTCAATCACTGAGAAGAAAAAAAACTGCAGTTACAAAACAATACAAATCTACCCAGAAAACATGGTCTGTACAAAGGAAAACAGAGATTCCACAGTTGACTTTGAATCATCCACAATCAGTTCATTCATTTCACATATAAGTCTGTCTGGGGGTTTAACAGGCCTTCCTGACTTAGTGCACAGYCGAGGAGGCTGAGTGCAAACATCATCAGCAATGGGCAACTCCAGTTTTGTGTCAGCACTATGTTTGGCTGAAACTTCATGTTGAATGGGCTCATATGGGACAGCTTCAGATGTGAGGTTGCAAACAAGATCGTGGGAATTTGACAATGCAACAGATTCAGAGAGATCAGGTTCTGTCACATCCTTGGTCACTTCACTTAAGCCGGGAAACACCATGTCCACTGAAGAACTACACGCAGGAATGTCAGAAGCATGGTCATGGTGATTTAAAACATCCTCCTCACAACTATGGTTCTCCATCTGCAAAAGCCATTTCACAGTTTTAGTGTCACTGTCCTGCACCTCATCAGACACGACAGGGTCAGAGAGTCCACTTCCAGCAGTAGAAGGGCAAGGTGAATTGTCCGTATCAGCAGCAGCAGTGAGGAAGTTGACTGGGAGGAGAGGATTTCTGTGGAGAACCTTTGTCCTTGATGCAACTGGGTCTTTGATGCAATACACATTTATATCAGGTTTCACAGACACCATTTCACATACTGTTGATTCCCATTTGTCTGCAATTTTCCTCTTCCCTCGCTCGCCACGATTAGCAACCAAAACTCTGTCCCCCGCCTCAAGAGGAGAACCTTTAGCCTTGCGGTTGTAGTTTGTTGCCTGGTTTGATCAGACAAACTGTTTTGTTGAGCAATGCAGGCAGCCACAGAGAGGTCATGTTTGGGGCGAGAGACAAACTCATGATGGTCTACAACTGGGCCATTCGACAGAGCATGTTGGAAAACCACATCAATGGGCAGGCATGGGATCCTGCCAAACATAAGAAAAAGTGGTGCGAAGCCAGTTGTTTCATGCTCCGTACAGTTGTAGCAGAATGTCAGCATTTTGAGCATCTGGGGCCATCTTGCTTTGGACTGGGGAGGGAGTGCTCGTATCATGTTACCTAATGTTCTATTGTAACGTTCGACAATGCCGTTCCCCATCGGGTGGTATGGCGTGGTGTGGGATTTTTCTATGCCAGCCATTTCCAGAAGTTCCTTGATGAGAAGACTTTCAAAATTTGCCCCTTGATCTGAATGGATGCGTTTAGGAAATCCATATATGCAAAAGAAGTCATCCCACAGACGACGAGCAACCTGTTTTGCTGACTGATTTCTGCATGGAAACGCATGTGCCATCTTGGAAAAGTGATCTGTTACAACTAGGACATCCACACAGCGCTTATCAGAAAGCTCAGCTGTCCAGAAGTCTATACAGACCAGTTCCATCGGCTCAGAGGTGTGAATACTTTCAAGGGGAGCTCTGTCATTAGGTTCTGGAGTTTTACCAACCACACAACGGAAACACTTTTTCACATGGTTAATGATGTCACGTTCCATCCCGATCCAAAAGAATCTCNGTTACAACTAGGACATCCACACAGCGCTTATCAGAAAGCTCAGCTGTCCAGAAGTCTATACAGACCATTTCCATCGGCTCAGAGGTGTGAATACTTTCAAGGGGAGCTCTGTCATTAGGTTCTAGTGTTTTACCAAGCACACAACAGAAACACTTTTTCACATGGTTAATGATGTCACGTTCCATCCCGTTCCAAAAGAATCTGTCTAGCAAGAGACAGCGTGCGGGCCTGACCCTGATGGCCAGCTGAATCATGCACCCCCTGGAGGACCTTGGCTTTTAAAGCATCAGRGACAATAAACTGTTTAGTTGTCATGTTCATTTGTTTGTCTTTCTTGACTCTGTACATCAAGCCATCTGWAATGAGGAGCTTAGGCCAATGTCTCAGTTTTAAAACTGCAGGTGACTCCTGCTCGTTCACGCCTGGTGAGCCTACTGTGACGCTGCATATAATAGAAAAGTCTGCCCAACACACCATCCAGACCTTGTAAATTAGCAAGTTCACTCTTCAACATTAAAGCAGACTGATCAATGTCACTGAGTTGCAAGAAAGCAGGGTCAGTGGCTCTCATCTGGCTGAAACCTCCAGACTCGTGCATCAATAACAGCTGACACATCTTGTGATGTTAATGATGTCTGGGGGGATGGTGAGGAGACTGTGGCAGACTCATCCGTGCGCTCTACAACCTGCTGACAGTTGGTTGTATAACAAAATGCATCCTGGACCATTTTGTCCATCATACCATTCACCTGGTTAAGCAATGCAGTATATGGTTCAGTTACAATGYGATGGCTCATGCATGACTGAACAAATGGCTCTCTACTCAAGGTGTCAGTGACAACATTTTTGCTACCAGGAACATAGTTCAGATTGAAACTGTAGGCAGAAAGTCTGGAAACCCACTACTGTTCACACACATCTAACCTTGGCTTGGTTAGTATGAATGTTAACAGGTTATTGTCTGTTCAGACTGTAAAATGGTGCCCTTTTAGCCAGTGGCTAAACTTGTCACATTTCGCCCATTTAAGAGCAAAAGACTCCAAACGATGCGCTGGATAGTTTAGTTGGGAGCGTTGGAGAGTCCTGCTGGCAAAAGCTACAGGTCTGGCAACCTTCCCATCTGGTGGAAGCTGTGACAGAATGGCTCCAATGCCATCAAATGATGCATCAACTGCAAGGAGAAATGGAGCATTAAAATCAGGATGGGCCAAGATAACACAACTTATCAACTCATTTTTCAGGGTTTTAAATGTCTCCTTGCACTCATCAGTCCAGTTAGATGGGGACAGTTTAACCTGGCCCTTTTTAAACTTGGGTTTGTTGCCTCACCCCTTTTTGTTTGTCGCTCCAGGCTCAGCAACAAGGTTGAAGAGTGGTTTAGCTTTGACAGAACACTTCTCAATAAAATGATGATAATAGAGAACCATTCCAAGAAAGGATCTGATTTTCCTGGCATATGGCATCTCACCATCAGACTCCATAAGATCAGTTTCTTGTACTTCACTGAAGGTCTGAACTTTACTAGGATCAGTGCTCAAACCATCCTCACTTATCAAGTGACCCCAAAATTTTACTGACCTACGAAGAAAATTACACTTTTTGGGAGACAGTTTCAAGTTATGCAGACAGATGAGAGAAAACCATCCGGAGTTGTTCAAGTGCAACATGTTTAGATGGGGCAAAGACCATCAGGTCATCCAGATAACACAGCAAGCTGGTGAAATTTTGGTCCCCGAAAATAGACATCATCATCCGCATGAAAGTTGCAGGGCTGTTGGTCAAGCCTTGTGGCATCCTATTATACTCATGCAGGCCAAACGGAAAAGAAAAGGCTGTAAATTTTTTGTCATCCTCATGCAGCCTCACATTATAAAATCCTTAAGTCAGGTCCATGGTGGAAAAGAACACATTACCACCAAGTGCAGCGAGGGCATCTGTTTGATGAGGTAATGGATGAGCACCTTTAACAGTTCGCACATTCAACCATCTGAAATCATTGCAGATGCGAAGATCTCCATTGGGCTTAACAACCAGGACCAAAGGAGAAGCGTATTCACTTTGTGACTTACGAATAATCCCCAACTCCTCCATGTCACTGAGAGCAGTGCACAGTTTTTCACAATGGCAGGGTGGGACATGCCTATATGGTAGTCTAAAGGGTTTGTCATCCACAAGACGTATTCTATGCACAAAACCTTTTTCCTCCCCACAGTCCATTTTATGCTGTGAAAAGATGGATTCATACCGTTGAATGATCTGCAACAACTTATCTTTCCACTCAAGGGAGACTTCACAAGATGAGATGTCTAAGTCCTGAAGTCCAATGTCGCTCAAAATATGTGACATCTCCTCTTCAGTTACTGGGGTTTTTACRGAGTCTGTGGTGAACTGTGTGTTGGATCGGATGCATTCAAGGTTTCGTGAAGTCATGCACGGAAACACAAGAGGACACATCAGCAACTTTTGCATTTCTTCTCAGAGTGAGAGGTTTTTCAGATGGATTTATAATCTTGACAGGAACACAACCGTCACCATACAATGACGCCACTACTCTCCCCACTAGAATTTGTCTGGGCTTGCACTTGGACTGGGTTGGCTCAATGATGACTGAACATCCAACCAGAGAAACATCAGATGCAGGCAATTTGGCCCAAACTAAATGTTCAGATAGGGGCTGGAGTGTTACAGAGCTTTTGATTTTGGCTGTGCCCACTTTGACGGGTTTCACCCCTGGGTTCATCGAGTCTGACAGCAGAGACATTAAACAGGGAAGATTGTCTTTACGAAAGTCACTCTGAGAGGAATAGTCTGTTGTGTCAGAAAAAGTCATCTTTACTTGTGAAATGAGCCATCTGATGGCATTACTACCCAATATCATTTCATCAGTTTGGCCAGGAACCACTAAAACAGGGATTATGACTTTAAAGCCAAAAATTGTTAGAGTGAGTTCATACAAGGCAGATGGTGTGACAACATGACCTCCGCATCCAACAATAACAATATCAGTAGCTGGTTTCCTATCCATGTTTGTGAGACTGTTGGAAAGTTTTGCTTCAGCTTCTTCACTTATGGTGCATGCCATTGATCCGCTATCAACCAATGCTTTGAGAGAATGTTTGCTTCCAACATTTACATCTGTGTAGAACAGACTGTCGATTTTTGAAAGTCTCTGAAGGGCTTGCACAATCAGTGTTTTTGTGGTGGAACTTTGCTGTTGTAATTAATGTACAGTGTCTCACAATCATCGTCTGTAGAATCCGAGGTGGGAGTATCTCTTAGGTGATCTGCGCTGTCCTCCCCTGCACGCAGATCATTCAGTTTTCCTGCTGGTTGTGGGAAGCCAGCTGGTCTCTCTGACTGCAGTTTCAACTTGAATGACCAGGGAGATGACAGAGGAAGCACAGATTATTCTGGCGGCAGTGTGTACGYGTAGTGTGAGAATTATCATTACACACAGAGCATGGCATGTCATTCAACCCTTTTATATTTGGCAATCTGCTTTTTTGGGGTAAACTAGATACAGATATTTCACTCTCTCCCTTCCTAGGCAATGCCAAGTTGTTTAGATCAGAACAAATGTCATTTGTTGCACTTTGAATTGCTGGTCCTGGATTTAAATGAACATCCTGATAACAGTAAGATGAGGAGTAGCAGGCTATGGATCCTCTGTGCTAGAGTTTTAGCAAGTGCCAGTTTGTTGCTTTATGTGCTTACATTGGTCAATCACAGCATGACCATTTCATAAAACAGGTGAGTAAACTGTGTAAAGACCAAGCAAGTTATAATGAAAGTTCACTGGACTATCCATCCATCCATCCATCCATTTTCTTCCGCCTATCCGGGGTCGGGTCGCGGGGGCAGCAGCTTCAGAAGGGAGGCCCAGACCTCCCTTTCCCCAGC